GGTGGAAAGCTTTGATCTGAGTTTTTGCTTTCTTATATCTAAAATGATTGGTAATAGAAATGTTACATGGCTATGTAAAAGTAAAAATGAGCTAATATGGAAAAAATGACCTTGTATGAATAAAATATATATGTACACATATTAGTACTTTGAAGGGCATCTTTCTTTCTGTATTTTTTCGTCTTCCTGTGTAGGCAAATCCACGCCCACAGACCGTATGCTCGGATATCAACAGGTAATCCATTATGAGACAGCAAAAGCCTGTACTAGCAGCAGCTCGCTGGCCCTGTTTCTTTGGGAAGATAAATGAAACCACTTCCTTAACCCTAGATGAGGTAGTCCAGAGTCGTGTTGACACCAGGGCCCCAATAACCCCTGTGTCTTTGGAAAAAAGGGGCACATAATCACAAAGGGCGTGGGGGGGTTGGTCACTTCACCCCCACTTTGAAGGTTTTAGAAACTAGAAAAGCTAAGGTCTTGGTGGTCCTTAAAACACTGTCTAATGTGTTTGGTGGAATTGGTCCAACCAGGGACGGCAAATTATTTCCATTTCGTCATCGTCTTTGGGGAGCACAGTTCAGGCTTGCGTGTCTTAATTGCTACTGTATTTATATTTTAATTGGTACCTTGGTGCTATTTACACAGGGAAAATATATCAGTAAAGTAACTTTCTCTTAACTGTCAATTAAAAAGAATATATTTAAATAAAACTCAATGTAAGAAGTATTTTTCAAGTCTTTCGCACTGTGCTTTGGAATTGTTAGCAGTGCCATGAACCAGCTACGAGCTGGGATGATATTCTCTGTACTGACATGGAAATGAACTCACTAAGCAACTACTTGGCTTTAGAGATTTGCACAAGTTGATACCCAAAACCACATTAAATTTGTATCAATTACTGGGCTTTAAAGCAAGAAAGGTTAGAGTTAAGCTGCTCTTCTTCCCACATTTTACCACATCTATGCGTGAAAACACTGATACACAAATAACAAAAATATTTTAGGTGCAGGAATATCTGGGCTCTGTTCCTCAGAAGTACCTGGCTTATTACCAGAAGATATATAAGAAGTAAACTTTATGTGTCTCTTTTAGGATAATAACTTCCAAATTATTCATCATTACTCATACATTTGTACAATCAGTGTAGTACTATAATCTCTTCATAGGTACACATTTGTTCCATTTCTTATTCCTGGCAAATTTTCGTTTCCAATTGTCCCTTCCCTCGCTGATCAGCATGAGAGCTTCGGAATGACATTTTCATGGCAAGAAAACAAAAACTGGCGTGTGCTTAGGCATACCAGCCTAAATGAAACATGACAATAATTGGAAAACACCTTTGCCACTGAAAATTACATTTTGTATTATGGCTTAGCATGTAAGTTACTTTTATAGTAACTAGAATTTCTTGAGCTTCCATGTTCCAGATCATTCCCATCGCATGTTTATGGTAGAGTAGATTTTACCAAAAATTATATATATGATTATATATGAAGATAGATAGCTAATATATGCATATATACATAATTGTATGTGTGCATACATACATATACATGCACACACCCACAGACACATGCCTTATAGTAACATTATACTATTGTTTAACTCTTGCTCTTTCAAAAATCCATATTAAGACTCATTAGAATTCTGAATTGATCAAAAACACTATCTCATCTGTGATAGCAGTATTAGCTTCTTTGATACCAGGGTACTTGAAGCACAAAGGGACCAATTGTTTTGTTGTCTGGTGACCAATTTAATGAGAAAATTGTGATTTTCCACAAGGCACCCTACAGCTCACCTTAAGTAGACTGTGCCCAGAGGACACTGGAGATGCTGAAGCAGAAGGTGATTAAGTCTGTTTTGTGGAGAATAATTGGTCACATGCTTGTTACGATGATGTTAACAACAGGGAGTATTTTTCTAGCCTATTAGTTCACAAGAGTCTTTTGAACTTTATAACATAGTAGATAATTTTTAAAAATACTAGCAATAGTATGTTGACTTGGAGCAAATATGAAGGGTTGGTAGGAACATATTATTCAATGTCTTTTGTATTCATGGCTAAATGAGCATTAAACATAAAAAGATGGCCATCATTCAAAGAAAATTCTCAATAAACTATTAAATATGATTTTAAAAGTTACTTTAAAAAAGTCAAGATGCTAAAACTTTTTAGCATATTTCAGGTTTATTATTACTTTCTTGATTTCTCTACTGTACATGTTAATAAACAGAAAAAAAAGCAATAAGTAGCCTTGATGACATCGAATTTAAATTGTTTCAACTTTATCTTAAATTCCAAACATATATAGTTATTAATATTGTTTGTAAGAAAAAGATGACATCTATCCAGCAATATCATTTTGAAATTTTTAACTAAATCAATGTGCTTTAAGAAACTAAGAAACAAGAAAGACAATTTGGACATGTTGTGACATTAAATTATTTCAATAATTTGTCTATATGCTTTATGAAAGTTTATCATCTTGAAGTAAAAAGTGCTTTATATATTTGCAGTGCCAATGAAGTGAAATGAATGAATGATATAGCAAGCTGTCTGTTGCAGTGGTATTGAATACCCCCTTGAATTTCACATGGACAAGTTATAACTCCAAAACACGGTCATTTCTTTGTGGAACAAAGAATTAATGAAGGATCACTACATGTGAATATCTTCAATAGATGTCTTCAAAGTTGGCAATTTTAGTTTTTTACAGTTAGAATTGCATTCTGTATCCAAATACAATCTTCAATGTTCTAATTTTGGACTTACTATGGTCACTTAATTTTACCTTACTTCAGAACTAATACATAAAAGTTCATGGGTAAAAGAAAATCAGGGTAAAATGCTACTAGTATTTTAAGTTTGCAGTCTCATGGAGCCTACCTTACTGGTTTCACTATTGCCAATAACATATTTTGATTTTGGTTTTCAGTGTTTCACCATTTCATTGTGACAACTCTAAACTTCATCTAAAAGAATTCTGAAAATTGGTAGTTCAAGCTTTACTGTTTCTACCCAAACAAATACATACATTTTAGAAAACTTCATGGAAAAGGAAATCAATGAGATACTCATTTGGGTGAATATAGTGGTTATATATGTTACTACTTTTAAAGTAAGTTACAAAGTTAAACTATATGTTTATGTTTCAATATAATAAATAACAAAATAAAGCTGAAAAATTTAAAAGCCATCACTCTGTTTGAAATTCCACAGTCTGAGTATTTAGACCAATATAATTAGTTTTAAAGAGAAAATTTCAAAATGTACAGAAGAAAAGAATAATTCTATAAACAATTAAGAGACACTGGCATAAGCTTTCATATATCCTACTTTGCTTTTCTACCGGCTTAGTCCTTAAAAATGTGCATCACTAATTTATGTACAATAACATGACTGACAGGAATCCTACAAAGCACATCTGCTCAGGGTAAAACATGAGGACAGCTAAAGAGGATTTACATTTGACCTCCAGTGTTTGCAGTAATATCAATTTCTCATAACAATCACTGGGCTATAAATAAAATAAAAAAACCTCTACCCAAAGGAATTATTTTAAATACTAAACTCTAAACCTAAAGTTCATCCTTGTAAGTGTGATACAACTGGAGTAAGCATTTTCATGATAATTAAAGATATACAAATATTTAAATTTAACCGAGTGTACTTTTTTAGTTGCTGAAAAACATAGCCCTAGTCAGTTGAACGATATTTATTGTCTGAAATAGCTTATATTTTACCCTGTCCTGTTAGTAAAGGACATCTAGTTGAAACCTGAACTCTTCTCTGAGTGTAAAGGAACCTCCCCCCATGTCTTCCTAGCCATCACTTACACTTAATCTAATGTCACTAAGTGACATAAATGAAAGGACGCAACATTTACCAGGCAAACCATTGTGCCTATCAATAAAGTCATGGGTAGTCATAGAAATACACAGGGCACCAGCTAACTTCTATCATTTAATAATTGTTCACTATGGGAAGTACTTTCAGGGGTTTTCTGCACTGAATTCTGTCTCCAGACACATTCAAAACGCACTGCCAATTGACAAAAGGAACATAGCTTCAAAAGAAAATCGCCTAAGTAGAGAAAAGCTCTCCGTTAAGCATGCAAGAGGTTAAACATTGCTGAAATAGCGAGACATTTTCTCAGCCCACGCTTCCCAGTTCCATTCAATTACCAACAGCAGTAGCGGCTATAATACAAGGTAACATTGTGTTATTAAATCAGAGTTTCCCATTTACATCCACCTCTAACCTGAGGGGGTGAGGAGGGGATGACAGTCACTAGTCAGTAGCAGAACAAACAGCCCCCAACTTGGAAATACGCATGACCTTGGGGTACAGAATTCTCAGAGACTGAGTTTCACAAGTTCTATTTGGATCTACTGCATAACAACACATCTAAACGAACCCAGTATGGTATAAATGCTCCTAGCCCTACCACCTCCCCTCCAAATTAATGTTAAGAAAGATTTGCACTTCGCAGCCTATGCTTTAGATACCAGAACTAATACCGATTATCAGAGATTAGTCCACTCACATATTTTTTTAATGTTACATTTGTTTTAAACAACTTGTTGGTTGATTTATTTAATATAATTTACCAACATATTTGAGGACTTGCCTGGAATGGTTCCTGTTCTTTGAGCCGTGCTAGAAGTGTTGCTCTACAAAATTTATATTTATAAGCAAGATGTAACATGATGACATTAACTTCACACACACACACACACACACACACACACACACACACACACACAAAACAAAGCCCTCAACTTCCCCTCTAGAATTCAGTGAATAATCACCAATAGGCATTCTCATAATAGTAATGAGAGCAGTCATTATTAAAATAATTGTTGCAATCATTGCCAACTGTCCCGTTTCAAATTATAAAAATAATCATAACTTGCTCTTAAATTTTTGTATGGCAGTCCGTATTGCTCCCCCATCTGTGAAAAAAATATATATATAATAACGTTCTTTTTCTTACCTTATTTCAACAGTCAAAAAAGTCTCCCGGAAAGAATCTTAAACGGTGTGGATATGTAAATCACAGTAATAATAATAATAATTTTTAAAAATTAAAAAAAAAACAAAAGATGGTCTTTGCTGGGAAAAGGTGGAAATAGTTTGGTTTAAAACTATGGAAATCCCCGAAGTCACGCCTGAATGGGCGCCCAGGTAGCAAACAGAGGACTCTCTCCCACGTCCGATACCACACTCCTTTGTCAAGTTGATCGGGTCCAGCTGGTGACGAGGGTCCCGCAGGGCGCAGAAGGTGGAAGAGGGCGTTGCCTCGAGGTGCGGGAGGAGCCGGTCCCGGGTTCAGCACCGACTGCGCTGTGGACAGCACCCGCTGCTCTCACCTCCGGTTAGTCTCAGTCACTGAACCAGGCTGATTCTCGCGCCTCCTCCCCGAGCAGGGGCGG